CCCCCCCCCCCAAAAAAAAAAAAAAAAAAAAATTAAGATAAGTCTCCTCGTATAAAACATAAAAAAATTCAGTAAGGTACCACTGACAAGAACCTGAAAAATAGGACGCTATCAATTACTTACAGCACTTTTCGAGTCATCCCGAACGAGGCCGCGAAAATAAACGCCGGCGCTGAATCATTCAAACCGCGGCCCGTTTCTCACGGCACGTACCTACGTGTGCGCGACGCACGCTCTCCTGATAAGGCCCCGGCTCAATAAATCACCTCATTCTCGCGCGTATACGCATAAAAACATCCCCTACAAATTTAATCTGAATAATGGGACGGACCTCCCTCGCTCGCCCCGTCCGCAACGCGGAGTCACTATCAATTTCCAGCCTCGGCTTGAATTAGCCACGATTACCTTTTATTTTTATTTGAATTTTATGTGCGCCGGTAATTTATGGACTAGCGCGGGGAAGGGAAGGGGGGGGGGTTGGACGCGAATGGGACGAGGGACTGTCCCTCCGCTTGAATTTTTATGTGGGGATGGACAGAAGCCGGGCGAGGGCTCGCAAAAGCTCCGTGCAGCGAATGATGTTGAAATGGTGCTACGTTGAATGAAGTTGCAGTCGACGTCTATGGATCGTATTCGAATGTGGTTCGATGTATCGTTTGGTTCAAAACAATAGCCCGTATTCGATAACGGTTCGATGGATCGTTTGGTTCAAGACAATAGAACATAACCTCAAACCAAACTAAAAGGATTTAAGTTGGAAAAGCTGAAAATTAGAAAATTCCTAACAATTTCACATTAAATTGGCATTTGGTACTCAAAAGAATAAAAAATCTGTTACAAAAGACCCGTTCTCTCAGATTTCTGAATTTAATTTTGAGGCTATGTTTATGTTTTGAACCAATCGATATCGATACAATCTCACCCGTTTGATGTATGAAATACGATCCATAAAACATAACCTCAAACAAAAATTTTAGGAGTTTAGTTGGAAAAGCTGAAAATGAGAAAATTCCTGATAATTTCACCTTACATTGCCAGTTGATACTCAAAAGAATGAAAAATCTATCACAAAAAACCCGTCCCCTCAGATTTTTCAATTGACTTTTGAGGATATAATATGTTTACATGTTGAACCAATCGATAGTGATACAATCTCACCTGTTTGATGTATCGAATATGATCTATTTGAGATGGTAGAGTGGCGTGCTTTGCGATGTATTGATTAACCTACTATTTAAACCTATAGTAAAGATAGATAGGATGTTTGCAAGGAACACCTTAATAATCGATCTTTTCTCAAAGTTTCAAATGGGGAAATATCGATAATCGACCTTTCAAGCCTCGCTACAAGTTTGTGTGAGGCTATGATACGAGGGCGGGAGCCCAATTTTTTCGAAATCGTTATTTTTGCATTTATGTACTCATGTGCACTCATATGTACAATACCAGTGGACAACGCACTTTTTCTTCAATTTTGAATATTCATAGTTCGTCGACGAAAGCTCATTTTATCCATGCGAAACGCATTGAATTCACAGCCACTTTGGAGTAAGTTGCGATCTTGTAAACGGCGACTCTCTCAGTTTTGCATGAGAATACGACGACTACAGCAAGAAAGCTTAAAAAACCACAATCTGAACCGAGCGATTGGGCTCACTTTGAAAGTAATTAAGACAATTTTTTGAAATAAAACTTAGAGACAAAAAAAATATCTTAGAATGCAAAATAATGTTCATCGGACATTTTTCAAAATTACGAATCGATTGAAAACTCCGAAATTCTGAATAATTTTGATCAACATTATTTTACACGGTAACTCGAATAAGATATAGAATAGCGCCTTCAACATACTGCGTAATCTTAATACGAAATTCTGATACCTCTAAT